GTGAGCCATCATCTTTCACCAACTTGACAAAAGGAACAATAGGAATTGGAGTGGGTGTACTCGAATCTGCCATTATCAGATCTCAAACATTTGATTTTGGTTTGAAATTATGTCTCAACATGGGCAAAAAAATTAATTATTAATTGCCTTGCTTCTCTTTTTGTCTTCATGGGGTATACCCATGTATAACAACTCTTATCATCAACAACGGTCAAGAAATAATGATGACCATAGAATAAGGCAACAAAAAAACTGACCTCAAATATCAACATGTGTTAAGTCGAAATAACAAGAACTTGTAGAAACACTTGTGGAAAATGAAGATTTTCTTTATTTAGCAAAAAGGCATACATCACAAATAAATGAAGAACAAGGAGTTATTAAATTTCAACTGATGTAACACTTGCAGTCTTGGTGGAGAAGGATGGCCAAGACAGAAGTGCCACATATTATTTTTGTTTAAAAGGGAAGAAAAGTAATGAAAGTTTAATTTATCAACAGAATGAGTACAAGAGATTGGCTTTACAACAGAACCAATACAAGAGATTGGCTTTACAACAAAATCACATTGTATATATTCTTGAATTTTGGCACTTCAAGATGATATAACCCATGTCTTGCCCTAGCTAAACCGATCTTCTTTTGGCTATGAACATCCTGAATAATACAATAATGATGGTTGAATGTCAATGAAAATTGTGAGTGTTTTAATAGCTTACTAACGGAAATCAAATTGAGTGTAAACTGGGGAACAAAGTAGGCATTATGAAGGATGAGGTTTGGTGTAATATGTACTCTACTAATGTGTGTGACTTTAAATATCTATAAATTTGGTAATCTAATGAACATATTTTCAATAGGCATGTGTAAAGTAAACAGCTCAATCGAGCTCACCATATAATCGCTAGCTCCAAAATCAATGATCCAGTCAACTAGTGTAGATGGAATAAAGGAGAAAGCGATTTTACCTAGTTCAGTGGAAGGTTGGAATGTAGCAGAGAGGGTGTTGATTGAGGAGTAATGGTTGAAATATTTGGAGCTGTTGATGGTTGAATAAGATATAGTATCTTGTGATATTGACTTTTAATAAATGAGTATGGGAATACATCTGGACCACTGCACTGTGCATTAATTCTTACATGAGAATTAGCTACACTATATTCTAATTCACCAATCTGAGTGCTAGCTTGACTCACACTTGGAATGTTCCGAGGCTTAGGTTTATACCTCGATGGATAACCATACTTCTTATAACACTTCTCTATTATGTGTCTAGTGAAACCACAATAGGTGCATGTTGTCCTCTTACCATTATTGAATCCACAAGTTCCAGAATTATACTTCTTATTTCCTCTTATATTATTGCTAACATTTTGTCTAGAAGACTGACATTTCTATTAAGGAACTAAAGTCTTGTTCACATACAAAACATTTGAATCAAAATTCTGTTCTGAAAGTCTTGTGTCAAGGTTCCTCTTATGTTGTATAACAAGTGCAAATACCTTACTTAGTGGAGGTAAAGGATCTTGAATTAGGATTTGTGATTTTACACCGCTGAAAGACTTATTTAGTCCTATAAAAAACCTAATGGTTTTATCCTCCTCATAGTATTTTCTAATCGTTGCTCCAACACTACACAAACATTATGCCTTACTGTACATCAAATTATCTTTACTCGGGACTAGTGTTGTACCATCCACGAACTTCATCTTATTTTTAGTGATCAAGGCTACTCTCATTGACCTCGACCGCGAGTGAAAATTGTTACCTGTGAGAATGGTTGAAGTCAGCTGAAGCGACAGACTCTCGCTCGGGTGTAGATATAATGGATTCGCTATAGTTTCTTCAGACGTTGACGACTATGTGCTAGTCGTAGCTGTATCCATGACTATCAATGTGAGAACTTGAAGTTGGAGAAATTTCTCTGCAAAATCACAAACCTAGGGTTTTGGTTTCGACCAAAAAAAAAATCGATCGAAAGAAATCTTTGAGCTCTAACACCATATTACAATATAGCATCCATCAATGTACGTAGTTGATGAAGAAAACAATTAGATCAGTAAACAATGAGACAAATCCTATTGAGTGAGAGAAAATGAGGAAGAAGAGAGAGTGCAAGAATTTGGAAAAATAGCAACATTCTATTCTTCTCATTAATTGAGGGTATTTATACATGGAACTAATATGTATTTACAAAATAACCTCAAATTTTACAGAAATAATATTACGGTCCTTTTATTTACAAAACTACTTACCTTTACATACTGTATGACTAGATTCGAATACAAACCTAATTTTAAATTTGACTAATTGATAGTCTCATTATAACATAATTCTTAAATTTTTTTAATTTATTTTTCAATTTAGTCTTTAACCTTTTAATTATTGTAGTTATATTTGTCACCTTTTTAAAATCAATTATTCAATTAATGTAAAACAATAAAATAATCATAAAACTAGAGTAAATCCGATCTATTTTTAGTTGGCAGTTTTCGTTAGTGTTGTGTGTGTAACCTGTCGTAAACATTAATCTGGGCCCGGACACAGAGACTGCACATGCATGCAACGGATACCTAATTTATTAAATAAAGTGGGGCCCAATTTGAAACTCTAACTTTATACGAAAAATTAATTATGTCGACATTAATATATATATATAATTACGCGAAATACTTTTACTGTAATTTTGTGTTCTACTTTTTGAAGAAGATGCACCAAATGATTTTAAAAAACCCTAATAATTATGAATTTAACTTGAAAACCACTTCAAATTCGTTATAAAAATTACTTATTTTTTTATAGAAGAAAAATTCACCAAATCATATGCATTGAATTTGAATATAAAAAAATATATTAAGATAAATTATTAAATTATTCTTCAGAATTTGAGATTCTAATTTAGTTTCTACTATGTTTCTGAATTATAATTTTAAATGTTTAATAAGCCCCTCTAATTAAACACGTTGCATTGCATGCGCAATTATTTTTAAATAAAATTAATAATTCAAATTTAATGATTTTATTTTTAAAGTAACAATTCAAGAAGTTGAGAGTTTAAGTTCTCTATACCCATTTATTGACACGTTTATATCATCATATATATTTAAAAAGTCCTCTTAATAAATTTTTTTACTTTTTTAATTCTAGGATAAAATAAAATTTAAAAAGTTTTAATTTCGATTTTAATATAACTCGATATATGGTAGTCTATTTATAAATAACACGAACTAAAAATAAGAGATACTTTCAATTGTGATATAAATTTGACGGTAATCTATTTCAATATAATATGAACTAAGAATAAAAAGTGATTGTGTTTGATAATTGAATAAATTAATTTTTTAAGACGGTAAAATTCAATTGCTTTAAACTTATTAGTAAATTAATTTCGATGAAATGGGTTATGCTAAACTTATATTATTGAAATGATATTACTTTAGATTCAATGAAATTCTAAGTCTTTAGTTCTACAATATAAATTAAAAGGCAAGAATTTGGTTATACCTTAATATATATATAAATAATTAAAAGATAAGAATTTTGTCATAGTAAGCCAATAAAATGTAAGGTATTGATTTTACTTAAGTTTTTAAATTAAGATAGAGTTTTATTAAGTTATAAGGTACATAAAAACACATAATTTTAATTTAAAAAAATGGAAAAATCATTTACTTTTTAATTGATTTATTTTTTTTAATCATAATAAATTTTCACATGTACTTAAATCAACTATTTGTAAGAAAGGGAAAAGAAAATAATATGTATGTTCAATTACTTATTTTTAATCATGTTTTGGGTTTGTTATTTTTCTAATCATTTTTTAATAGTGTTTCAACTTAATTTTTTAGCAAGAAGTAATAATATTTGGTGTAGGTACTTGTACTTTAAAAAGTTAAGTTCTTAACTCAACTTACTATATACATATACATATACATATATATATATATATATCAATACCATTTTGAGGATCAACAAAATTAAAATTTCCTTCTTTAGAATCAAGAAAATGCACTTTAATAAAATAAAAAAAAAAACCTCCAAACAATAAAGTTTTGTCATTAGTTTAATTTAATTTTAGTAAAAAAAAAAACTACAAAAATTCCAAAATTGTCCCTCCATATATTTTTTATTACCTTATGATGTTTTCTTTGCCATCAGAATCAGTATTTTCAACCTTTAGTAAAAAAAAAATCAATTTTCTCAATATTTTTAGTCAAGATTTTGTTTTTAATTATATGAATAGTATATTTTTTCTAAATTTATCACCATATGATATTTTATATTACGATATATTAAATTTGTTAGTAGTCTGATTAGTGTTATTCTCTCTATTATTCAAATAGAAAAGAATAAAAAATGTTAATAATTTTATAAAAATAACTTATTATAATTGATTTATTATGAAAATTATTTATCGAGAATGTGAAGATTGCATTCTAAGTGAACTAGTTTTGAATAAATTATTTAATTAAATATTTTTTATAATTAAAAATTTTAAAGAATTATATTATTAATTTTTTAAATAAACGTGTTTAATTGGTAATTGAATATGCGTTTTGTAACTAGGCAATTACTTAATGGAGTGAGATATAAACTAAAGTCACACACTTTCCAATTTACCCATATTTAAGTTGAATCATGCATGGGTAATTTATTGAGATAATTGTTGAAGAATCATGTGTTGGGAATTAATATTATATTCAACATTTCATTTATATATCTAATAGTTCTCTTCATCATTTTTTAATATATATATATATATATATATATATATGCGTGTGTGTGGGGATTAAAAGACTTGGTAACGGTGAGCTCTAAGCGACGTCGTACGGAAAAAAGTAAAAAATAGACAAGGGGGAAATTGTTGAAAACGACAATGAACTGAACGTTGACGTAAGATACGCAATGGTACAATCGTAAATATGCGGAAATTAAAGGGTGAAAATGGGGAAAAAGGAATGATGAGCAGCTCACGAAGTCTGCATTTGGGGAGAGAAGAAGGCCTATCTATCTGACGTACAGCACACACTCGGCTCTCTCTCTGACTTTCCTTCCTTCCTTCCTTCCTTCCCTCTCTCTTTCTATATATACTCCAGCTCTCCCGGTCGACGTTCTACCATATTCTACCCTCTGTTTCCTTCTTCTCTCTCGATTTTCCCGGTTTCCTCTCTCTTTCTTTGCATCTACTTCCCCCTCTCTCGCCGAACACCTCCATAATCATTTCCCTCAGACGAACCTTTGGAAATGACGAAGAATGTGGGGATCCTTGCTATGGATATCTATTTCCCTCCTACCTGTGTTCAACAGGTGATCCCGATCCCTCTCTTTCTCTCTCCCATCGCAATCTCAGTCTGTAGTTTTTCTTTTTCTGCTTCCATTTTTGGTTCTTTCCATTGTGAGTTGTAGGTCGCCAGCGATTTTTATTTCCTGTTTTCTTGTGGTGAGAAGCGTGGAAAACGTTCATGGAGATGAAAAATATACATTTGGATGGTTATGGCTCCGTTTTTATTTTCTTTTCGTTCTTCTTATGCTTAACCTTGATTGAGCAGAGCAAGAATCTGGATTTTTTAGATTCAGATTTCCGACTCTTCCGTTTTCTCTGTCATGGATATACGGATTATTTCTTGTTATACTTCTGCTTCTTTTTCGTTTCTTGTTCATACTTCTGCTTACTAACCGGAGATTTTTTTTGTATTAATGTTTTTGTTTCTTCTTTTCGTTTCAGTTTTTCTTTCTATTTTTGTGTGGTAAATGGTAATGATTTTGTTAGGTGGTTCAATATGCATGTGTGAGCAATATGATCTGAAATTAATCGGCTAAAGGATACGCTTTCTTAGTCTTCTTTGCTGTGAATGTTCCTTATCATGCGTAATGATGCTTTTTCTTTTCCTTTTTTCTTTTTTTTTTTTCAAATCTTCTTCTGGCGCCGGATATGGACCGAGCTTGGTGCTTTTACCATTTAAGCTGCCCCGAAGAGTCATAAGCGTTTTTTTTCTCTGTGTATTGTGTCTGGATTTCATCTATTTCGTCGTCTTCTTAGAATTACCGCTTTTTTTAAGGATAACTTCGTTCTGTATTTGTTAGTCTCTGATGGTGCTGGAATGGCACTTTTGAAATTGGTTGGAGAGTTTTGGTCATCTTGTTTTTTGGATCTAACCGATTAAGTAATTAGTCATGTCATTTCAATATAAACAGAGATGATCATATTTATGATTATGCCAGTTTTTTCTTTTAAAAAGTTTAACTTTCCTCTTTTTTACCGATTAGACTATGTTGCAGCTCGCAGTATGGAGCCTTCATTGATATTTGACCTGCCAACGTTCTCAATGAAAAGAGAAATATATTTAACCTTACATCCAGTTATTTCTTCTGGAAAAGGATCTATTTCTAATAAAATATAAAGACACCATGCCCTCAAGACTCAAGCCACTTCAGTTGAATCTCTCTTTGCTCTAAAATTTTTGATTAATTGCTTTGGCACAATCTCCACGATTCTTATTATGTTAAGACAAAAAAAGAAAAATGAATTGCATTGCTGAATCCTAAACTGGTTTAGGGAAAGTGGGAAATATGTTCACGGTGATTTAATTAATACGCATTACTGGAAAAAGTTTTCTTTCTTTAGTAGATGATATTAACTAATTTTTTTAAAAAAAATTATTGTCTTTCTTTGTCCAAAATATTTCTCTAAATAATTTTCTGTTTTTCTTTTTATTAAATACTGTATCCACTACATCATTGATTATAGTGGGTGAGTTCCTTGAACAATATTCTAGTTGTATGTTTGCTAACTTTCATTCCAATAGGAAGCTCTAGAGGCTCATGATGGGGCAAGCAAAGGGAAATACACAATTGGACTTGGACAAGATTGCATGGCATTTTGTACAGAGGTGGAAGATGTCATCTCAATGAGGTTGTGATTCTATGTACATTTGATACACATGTTTTACATGCTCCAAGTAGCAGACAACAATTTAGTAATCCAATTGACTAACTCCACTGGCATTAATTGTTGGATTTCCAGTTTGACTGCTGTTTCATCCCTCCTTGAGAAGTATAAGATTGATCCAAAACAAATTGGTCGTCTTGAAGTAGGCAGTGAGACCGTCATAGATAAGAGCAAATCCATTAAGACTTTCTTGATGCAAATTTTTGAGGTACTCTTCCCAGTCTTTCCTACTGACACATTGGTAGTTTCATGACATCTCTTGCACAATCTTTCTTTCATGGGCAATCCATCAAATATTTGGTGTTTCTTGTAAAAAGAACACATTAGATTGATTCCTTTCCTGCAGTTTGTACGCATTATATTTTTATTAAAAAAAAAAACTCTGTACACATTAAATTTTGAAGATGTTTAACTTTTTTTGTGATTGTTCCTTTTCCTTTTTTTATTTTTAATATGAATGAACAGAAACATGGAAACACAGACATTGAAGGTGTAGACTCAAGTAATGCATGCTATGGTGGGACTGCTGCATTATTCAATTGTGTTAATTGGGTGGAGAGTAGTTCGTGGGATGGACGCTATGGGCTTGTTGTATGCACTGACAGTGCGGTAAGAAGGCTTCCAATATAATATTAGCAATATCTCATACTTGGTTTATTTCTCCATGATATGCCTTTTCCGGAACAATATTGTTGGAAGTAAATCAGTTATTCTTGTGATAATACTAGTTTGTTTCCACATATTCCATAGATGGGATGCGTAAGAGCAAATACACTTCTATCCAATCCTGAGTAGCAGTTTATCGTTTATATCATGAAAACATCTCAAGTTTTATTTCACTGGCACTGTATTGGATACAACATTTAGATATTGTATAATTCTCATTCTGAAGTTATATTTCATTTTCTTACTGGCATTTTTCTGTTAACAGGTCTATGCAGAAGGACCTGCACGGCCCACCGGTGGAGCGGCTGCAATTGCCATGCTAATAGGGCCTGATGCTCCTATTTCTTTTGAAAGCAAATTTAGAGGAAGTCACATGTCTCATGCCTATGACTTTTACAAGCCCAACCTTGCAAGTGAATATCCGGTAATGATTTTAATGTAATCTTTTTTCGCTTGAGAAGAAAACACTGTTGACAACATGTTCATCTTCTAACAGGGATCTTTTGGTTTTTTTTTTCCGAAGTGTTATTTCTTCTCGATTGTGGTCTCTCCAGAAGCTTGGTTGAAGACCATACATTGGCATCACTAGTCGCATGCTGCTAAAAGTTGGTGAAACCATATTTAGTTTTAATTGAGGGCCTTTGTCCTATAGCCATGTTAGTAGCTGCATTGTTGCAGGCTTCTTTTGGCTTAAGAGGAGAGTTTTTTTTTTTTTTTTCAAATATATGAATATAAATAGAAGTGCGAATAGAAAATGAAAGAGTTAGACTATGAAAATTTGGCCTGGTTACAGTATTCTGATACAAAACAAGAATAAGATGGGGGCTTTCTCATGCCTATGGTCTTTTGGGGAGCCATTCTCATCTTTTGCCAGAGATTTATTTATTTTTCCTAGTGTTTGTTTCTCTTTGGTTGTTGTCTCTCCACAACCTTGGTGAAAGATTGAAAATCAGTGTCCCTTCTCACCGTTCCTCAAAGTTGGTCAAAGTAGCAAGGGCCTTTGTCCTATGGCTACTCTATTTGCTGCAACTTGGCAGAATTCTTTGAGGTTAGGAGAAGATGATCCCTTTTAAAATATTCACATCTCTCTCTTTCTCTCCCTCTCACTATATATATATATATATATATATATATGTATATTTGAAATATTAAATAGAAAGAGCAGAGAAAACTGA